TCTAAGTATGTAAGTCAAGTGAATATTTTCCTATGAGAGTGGTTCTTAAGTCAAAATGTTCTTAACTCGAGCCGTTCTTAAGTCAAGACCCCACTGTACCAAAATCACATTAAAGATCATTCAATTTAAATTAAAGTATTAGCAGTGGTCTGTATATACAGCACATGTCCTTTTGAATAAATATTCAACTAGTAAAACTGATGAGGCTTTCCCAGTAACCTTTCCAGTTCACTGAAGTCCAGAGGCAAGTATTAAGTGAATCTAAGAACTGACTTTATCTTTCTTTTTTTCCCCTGGAATAGAAAGACTGTGGAGAAACAGAAGATCAGGTAGACAAGAAAGGCAGAGAAATGAGGTTATCCAAGTCTAACCATAGGGCAATATGAACTACTACCAAATGATATGTGGAGTATCTCCCCCTGCATTTGCTGGAGGACACATGATGACATTTGAAGTTTAAAGAACATGAATGATAAAAGAATAGTATCAGCACATTAACAGAAATAGGGAAAGATTCCCACCTCATCATTAATGCACTCACAATTGTACATGCAAGTTCAGCCCAATTCAACCACAAAAGCACTGGCAGCAAATTTGTAGCTGGAACAGTTCCCCATACATACAGAAGCAACGTTGGCATGCTGATTCCAGGCCCTTGTCCAAGTCATAAACAGTACTACTGAAAAGAGGTTGGCACAGATACCAAACTGAGAAGCACCTCATTTATTATTTTTACCAGTGTGCCCATCATGCTTTCATTCCTGGCATTCAGCACGTCATGAAATGGAACAAAAACCCATTAAATTTATTGCTCAAATTGCAAATTATTCTACAAGTATACAATCTCAGCCCTACAAAACTGTGGCTCTGCCCACTCTTCCAAGTGCAATGTTGAAATGCATGAGAAGGAACAAAACCTGTCACACCCTTAGAGTAAATCATTCTTGAGTAGACCACTTAAATTGCAACGGAGAAGCAATGTTTGACACACATTTTTGCAACAATTGAGAAAATGAAGGAACAGAAGTGGTGCTAGACTTCTGGAATCAATAGTAGCATTTCAAGAGATACATAAATTCACTCCTTTTGCAGCATAATTGTGACTTTGTTACAGAGAATGGCACAAAACTGAGGATTATCACATGGTTCATGTTCTCCTTGTGTGCATTCAGATGATAATGAAGTAGACAGAGAAACAGTCTATTTTGCACCAGAGGCTTGCAGCATTCAGATTATTCTTTTAAAGTGTAACTAATTCTGTTATTTTTGAGAAAGAGGATTTACTTTGTAAAGTTACAACTACTTTGGGTGGAATTCAGAACTATAACTGACTACTTTTAATAAGTAACTCTCCCAGGTCTCTGCTTTTGTCAAGAGGAACAGCTAGATTCTGAACTTCCCAGTGAATTGGTTGAAGTACCGTAGCTGTCATATAGCATAGCTACATTACTTTAAAAGAGGTGGCACATAATTACAAAGCATGTTTTCACACACACTATAAGACATATTGAGATCAGATTGTGAATTGCATGCTTTTATCTTGCCAAGCTTGTCAGTACTGAAAAAAAAATGTTTAAGTGCTTTTCAAGGACAGAGAGTTATTGGTAAATCTGTTATTCTCTGTAGCTTGTTTTACTTACTCTGTATGTTTTATGCTTATGGATTTTACTTTTTAAAAACCACTGAAAGTTAGTTATGAGGTGATATATGAAAATTGCACATAAAATGTCAGTTCTTCCCACCCTTAAGCTGCTGTGAATGCATCTTAAAGCATTCTAATTGGAGTGAGATGAAAACGAATCCTTAAGATTAAAGTGAAGGTCAGTTTGTCCTCTGTAAACCTTTCTGCCAACTGGAATAAAAATCCTACATACTCACAGCAAAATATAAAGAACAGTGAGGTTTACATAATGATTTAAAGTTGATCATTTAAAGCTTGGTTGCAAACCTCCACTATATTTTAGAAATAGTTGGTGGGTGAGCAAGCAATGGTGGCATGTTAGGAGCAGCTCAGATTTAGCGACTCTAATTCCAAAAAACTCAGCAATAGGTCAATAAAACACAACTTTCCCTCTCATGACCCCACCTGTTCCACACTTAAAGAGTAAACACATCCGATAGACATAATTTGCCCAATGCAAGGCATAGATAGAACTGGGTGCTACAAGTGTTTCAGGGTTACAGCTATTCTATTCTAAAAACACAGTGCTATTTCATTAATATGGTATACTTCAGTGTACAAGATGCAGAGTCAGACAAAATTAGAAAAAGCCTGTGTGGTTCTTAAGGTAATATAAATCCAAGATCAGCAGGTACTTTTATTAGACCAGGAAGACAATGCTATTTCCTTCATTGGCTTAAATAAAACAAGTAATGAGATTATTGGTTGTCATAACAGACAGTCCTGGTGACTAACTACAACCTCTATGTCATTTGCTTTGTTGAAGGGGAGGAAGAGAAAGGGAGGAAAAACTTGTTAACACTCCTTCTATGCAAGTTATTTTTAGTTCAGATATGAAATCTGTTGTTTATAGGCATCCAGAAACAAAATAAGAATAAATTGTACAACAGCATGTTCTAACATTTGATGTAAAGAGTAAGTACACTGATTTGCCACAAATTGAGAAGAGAAGCAAGGACATGCAAATAACTAGTTTCCAGGTGGAAGGATACCTTTAAATGTGTCTCCCTATGAGTATAGGAAAGCCAAGGGATAGGTGGCACTTCCACAGTACTATTAAATTAATATTCACTATTTTGCTTCATGCATAAATACAATGTATTTTATAATCCGAAAAATAAAGAACAAGTCAATTTTATCTAAGTAAGGTTGCAATCTCAACCATTTATTCTAGAGTGAATACCAAAGTAACTGATCCTGAGCACAATCTATGCCATTCATTGCCAACAATGCCCCTCTGCATTTTCCATAGGACAAACAGGACATTCACACAAAAGAATTAATGGGGATAAATCAGACATTAGGGATGGTGATACACAGAAAATTGTTTCAGAACATTTCAATCAATCTGGCCACTCTTTACAGTCACAATCCTAGAAAAGGAACATTATAGAACAATACTTCAAATAAAAACAGACGAGATGAAAAAAATATACAGATGCCGAGAACCCATCTTAAAGGGTTAAATATCAGTCAAAGGTTCTTCAGTCATTTTGTTGTATAGTCATTGTGTCCGACTTTTCGTGACCCCATGGACGAGAGCACGCCAGGCCCTCCTGTCTTCCACTGCCTCCTAGAGTTGGGTCAAATTCATGTTGGTAGTTTCGATGACACTATCCAACCATCTCATCCTCTGCCATTCCCTTCTCCTCTTGCCTTCACACTTTCCTATCATCAAGGTCTTTTCCAAGGAGTCTTCTCTTCTCATGAGATGGCCGAAGTACTGGAGCCTCAGCTTCAGGATCTGGCCTTCCAGTGAGCACTCAGGGTTGATTTCCTTCAGAACGGATAGGTTTGTTCTCCTTGCAGTCCAGGGGACTCTCAAGAGTTTCCACCAGCAAGAGTCTCCAGTCATTACCAGGTATGAAATGCTACTATGATTGTGTGATTATCTGCTCTTATTATCCATAGTCTGATGTTCCTTTACTAACAAACTGTACTGTCACTTTTTACAGAACAAGTCTTCAAAGGGAAATAAATTTATTTAAAGGAACTGAACATCAACTAGGGGGCTTAAGTCATTACTAGATTTAAAATATTACATTGACTGATACAATTTCTGACGTATCTCTCCTTTGTCTTGCGGAAGTTGACAAAACTTCACATTAAAATATAGCAGCTAGTCTTTAAGATGCCAGTTTTTGCCTTTATAAGAAACTATTTTTTTTGTTTCTTGTCTGGTATATTTGCAGAGACTAATATGGCTGCCACTTTGAAAACTTCAGGGTGAGTTTCTGATTAACCATGTTTACCTTCCTTAAGATTAGAAGTTTAATTCCCCACTGAGCCTCTTTAACAGGGGCTGGACATGATGATCCATAGGGTCCCTTCCAGCTCTGCAGTTCTGAGATGATGGTCTGATATAGAAACTATTCAGATCTCTCCCCAAGTGAACTAGTGTTTGTCTGGCAGGCACATAAAATGCCATCAGTTAAGATGTTTACTAACATTAGATGCCTTTTGGCATTTAGTTCAGGAAGGAAAAGAAATAAGGGAGAGATTCTTGAACAACAAAGAGCTGGTTTTTGCATTCCTCATAGTCACATGGGCTCCAGTCATTGGTTACACTGTAGCACTACTTCAGCTTTAGTGCAGCTAGATAAGTATAGGAGCCCCAACTCTTCATTAGCTACTGTATATTTCTGAAGTGTTTTTACTTTAACACCCCCACCTCAAAACAATATCCAGAACAATGTGGCAATAGCAGCTTGATCAGCTGCATCTACAGTATCTAAATTCAAACCACATACATACAGGCAATATTTAGTTACTAATAGCAACCTGTAAGACTGCAACTCACTGTCAAATGAAGTCAAATGACACACACACACACATTTAGTAGGGAAAATACAGCTTTCCCGCCTTTTTTAAAAACAGTGCAGAAGCAGCTAGCTCATAATACATCAGGCAGACGTATGGGCTGAAATGGATGGATAAATTAGAGAACTGTACATAACTGTTTAGAACAGGCACCACTACAGTTAAACTAACTTAAGTTAATCCAGCTCTAGTCCTCTTCAATTAAGATATAGTAAACAACACAGAATGGTGATGTAATGCTTTTATCTAATATGCTGGGAAGAATATGTACATATGGCTTATGGGGTACAACATTTTGCCATTTAAGTCAACAAAAAATTTGGGAGATGGAATTAGTGACTAAGTCATAAAACAAGGTAGTTGCACTGTATGCATTTTCATACAGCCGCATTTTAATTTTGCCATTCACAGACTATGTGAATGGTCAAACTTAACATTCATTTCAGAAAATAAAAGACAACACTCCAATGAGCCCTACAAAACAAAACAACAACATGGATGTTTGTATAATAATTATTTTATTGAAGTCTTCTAAAAGACATTTGTTCTTAGATTTTTATGTGAGGTTCAGAAAGCCACAATGCCCTTTTATTTCTTTGCATACATACATATTCTGTGAGTCTTCATTTAAATCCTGCATGTGTTGACCATTCATTTTACAAAGTTAGCCCCTCAAATGTTGAACATACAGGAGCAATGCCCCCTGATTTTTAATTAAGACTAGTACCAAACCAAATTAAGACATTTACATATACTATATATTTCACAAGTAAAATATATAAAAAAAGGTAAGGAAGCTTGGATAATGTAACAGCTATATGTTGTAGACAGCCAAAGAAAAAAGAACAACCAGATTTGACCTAACCAATTATAGTTAGTCATAGTCCATGTACAAAGGCAATACAGATTAAAGTTGTTCTGTTTTATCATTAACAACATTAAAAATGCAGACAAAGGATAACATTATCACACTCCTTGGGCACAGAAAGGGAAGACTATTTTTTGTTAAGGCTGTAGATATCGCTTCAAAAACATTAAGATCTGTACATCTCCCTTTGCAGAGATAAATACATAAAATAGGGATACCTTATATCACGTAGCTAATATAATTAGCTATTTTTGGAAACTTGCATTTCAGTACTTTAAACAAGTGCAACTGTCAATGAACTGATTCACAACCCAGGGGTGCATTAGTGCCAAAAACTTTAAGTGCTACAAACACAATCATTTGGAGGCTACAGGAGTATTCTGCTGTTTAATAAGAGGGCGATGTTTCCAAGGACAGTGACATCCTTTTGTGTCCACTCAAAAACAACTTCATAGGTGACAGGGTTTAATTGGAATGCTAACAAAATATTTAAGCAGAAAAGTAGAGAGTATTTTTATGTTCATCTGCAGTACTAGTCAGCCATTCTACAAAAAGGTTGAAGTAAACCCATGAGGAAAGGAGAATGCTAGTCCTGCTCCCTTGTATTCTATCTCTCCATCTATACAGAGAGCTGTTTTTGTCCATGGCACATTTCTACAGGATTTGGAATCCTGATTTTTTTAAAGATTTCTGATTCTTGGTTGCTCTCTTCTTCATGCTTAGTTCTACACATGCAGAGGGCAAGGAAGGAGGGGGCAATAGCATGTCTCTTTTTTTCTCCTGGATATGTAGATTACTGAATACAGCTTGCAAGTACTTCAATCATAGCTCTGCTACCAGTTCAAGAAGAGATATAAGGAGAAAAGCAACTGGTTTTGCTTCACATTTGGGAGGTCATAATAGGAACAAAACTATATGGATGGATTTTTTGCTTTGTGGTATTTAAAACATCCACAGCACAGGATCAAACTTTAATTCAGACTACAACACCTGACTGCACTAGTTTATAAAATCACTACAATTTGCCTAATTTCAACACAAGGTGTGAAACATATGACTAGAAGCAGGTTTGGTACAAGTCAGGACTGTTGCTTACCAACAATGTATGATTAAAGATTAGGTCACACTTCAGAAAAGGTAAGAATCGCAGCTTCATATTACAAGCCGAATATTTTTTTCACACCTGTCTATGTAAAACATCTCCCCATTATCATTTATTGCCCTTTGAACTGTGCAAAAAAATAATTCACTGATGCAAAATATTTATTCTAATACGTTTGAACAGGCTTATAATATTTATGGCTTAGACTTACATTTTTAACATTAAGATTTTAGGCATGTATTTCAATTGAGATCCAGTGCACACAAAAGGATAGCTATAGAGTTAAAAGGTTTTCTTTCTTGGAAAAAAAAAGACTCCACAACTTCTTTGCTGATATAAATGTAATCAACCCTATTTAAATTTATAACCAAATTGCCATTCAGTGTTCTGTGCAGCTATTTCAATAATTACCTACGTGGATATGTACATGTAACAATACATACAAGGTTTTTGCCTTGTAGAACACTGCACTGATCTATGCAAAGCTTTTAATTCCAACAAGGAATCCCAAATTACAAGCCACTGTCCAAACCAATAGACTGAGTAGTGCACAGCTTTCCCACATTGTTCTGTAGTAAATTAGTTCAGTAACCGATTGTCCACTGCCCTGGGAGTTTGTAAATTAATCTTGCTCCAGCTCTAATTTCAATGACCAGATATTAAGCGATAAGTTCATTCAGAACTGACCATTTTGTTCTGTGGAAATTTTGGTTTACAGCTTCAGTTTAAAGATTAGACCTCCTCATTTTGACATGCACCTACAACATGGGAATTGAATTGCACCACTATAATTGTGATATCATCCCTGTACATCCGAGCCAACTCTTCTGGAAGACTAAGCATCTTGGACAATCGTTCATGATCAACAGTACCAAACTCATTATTTCCCACAGCATGACGTATCAAATGAGTTGCTGCATTCTGATCTTCATAGGCTGAAGAGACCCGAGCTCTCCTTTCTGTCAAAAGACCATGCATCTGTCCCAGTGTTACCTTGTAACCACCAACAGCTATTGGCTCTTGATGATGAACACCTGTCAGATACTCACCTACAATTCTAACTACATCCTGTCTGTGCATGGTTTCCCACAGTCCATCTGTTGCCAATATCAGGAATTTGTCCTGGGGTCTTAATTTATGATGTATCACCTCTGGTTCAGCTGTGAGGTATGGAGGAGTATGGTAGTTTGGTGGGATGAATTTTGTATATTCGTTGTCATTAAGCTGATCTGGGCCTGACTCTATTACTCTCTTCTGCAGATCAATACTCCATTTAAACTTGACATCTCCAAAAGCTCTGAAAGGCATCAATAAGCCTAGCAGACGATCTTGTTTCACCACAGTCTTTTCCTCAGACTTTGGGTGTTCTGATCTGAGTCGTTCAATCTCACTTTCATTCTGTGCATTATGATCATGAGACAGAGCAACAGCAGACCAAGATCCATCCTCTTCTTGGACACCAAGCATGGCTCTACTGTCACCAGTATTAGCAACATGTAAATCAACACCATCTACATGAGCAACGCAGGCAGTTGCACCAGAAAAGGCTACACGCAGTACCAAATAATTGAGGAAAGAATTTGGATCTCCTACTTGAGCTTCTAAAGAAATGTCATTGTCAAGTCTCTTAAAGGCATTAATTAATGCCTCTTTTACATCAGTTGTCTCCCCAGTGTTAAGATCTATGAGCTCCTGCCAGTAAGTTCTCAAGCTGTTAAAATACAATTTGGAGGCTTCTTTACTGAAATAGTCATTGGGGTGCTTGTGCCATTGTAAAATGGGCAACAGGGCTCTCCCACTTTCAACAGCATTTTCTATTTCAAGTAAAGTCTCATGGGGTAACAGAGAAACAGCTATGTAATAGAACAGTCTTTCACTGACAGCTTGTGCACAAGCACATCCTGCATGTCCATCAAACACACCAAGGAGCATCCCTCTTGTTTGTAAACAAGTGGCTGCACTTCTTCGGTCTTCAATTGGGGCATTAGCAGGAAGTTGATTACTATCAAAGCCAAGCACAGAGCTTACATTTTTGCCATCAAACTCTGGAACTTTGAAACTGTATTCATTTGCTTTCAGGATACTGTTGACTTGTGGGGGTGTGAGGTAAAATCTCTGTGGTGTGGAGACATAGTTTCTTGCATGAATAAATGAGCTGAAGTTCTCCTTTGGTCTGCAGAGCGTTGCCAGCTTCTTCTGCGGCACATATCTCAAGTGCTTGTGAGTCAGGTGAGGTGATAAGCAACACAGATGTTGGTGGTGACAGTAACATGCAGTATTGTATATCCTGCCAATCTCACAATTACGAATCAATGGGAGCAGTAACTGAGTTGGTGCTGGCATGGCATCAGAGAGCAGTGGCAACCTGGAACTTCTGACTGGAATTGCTAAGGGGAAAAACAAGCAACATGTATGTTTACCATGGTTTCTTACATGAAAAAAGAGCTAATAATATTAATCTCTTTAAAATAATTTATACAGTATTTGCTCACATGGTAAACTGCATAAAGCAGCAAAACAAATAATTTAAATTCCTTCAAGGAGAATATATGTTTGTTCCCACCGTTAATCTTGCTCAGATGTATAAATAGAGTGGCCTATAGTTACAGCTTTACTAGCAACAGCTTTAAATTGGGAGTGCTGAAAGTCAACTAAAGGTTAAAGCACAGATAACAGACATAGAGGACAATTCAAACTTTCTGACTGAAAATAGTCTCTTGTCTCTACACTAGTAGGGAAAAGAATGCTTTAATTTGCCCTGTCTATGGCAATTCAGGCAATTATTTATGTCAAAGCATTTTAATATTTTCCCCAAACACCTCCTTTAAGTTTTACAACTTGACAAGGTAAGACATGCAGTATCTCAGGAACAAGTCCCACTGATTTCAATGAAACTTCCATGTAGGCACAGAATTAAAACTCTTCTATAAATCTGCTGCACCTTTATTAATTATTATAGATAAACCTTTGAAGAGTTCCAAAATATTTATTCTTAACTTGCTAAATGATGACTATGAACTGAATGTAATACCTCCCCTCTTAGGCTAAATATGCACACACATCATATTTGTATTTACAGTATATATAAAAATTGTTTTGCATGACTATTTTCACAATGTGTGTCCAGCAAGAAACTGTGATCAGAACCCTATTACACAATATTTATTTATTTATTTATTTATTTATTCAATTTCTACCCCGCCCCTCTAGACATAAGTACCTGCATAAGTACAGTGGTGTAACTCTTAGTAGCAAATTGATTCTAGTTAAAGAGCTGTTGCTAGTTGTACACAAGTTACACAAAAATACTAGGAGTCTGATCATTATAACACAGAGATAGCACAGAATTCATTCTCCGAACATTGGTTACTATATAATAGGGATGCAGTGTAGTCTAGTATTACCAATTCTGACAGTGGGCAGGATCCTTTGCTGGAATTTCATCATCAGAACACCAGAATCCAGCAGAAGCAAGAGCCAGCTCTCTCTTTTCCCCACAGCAGTTTCCTGCACATCTCACAAATCTGTTTGAGAAGGCTAGGAAACTGTTTTCGAATGTGAAGAGTCCAGGATTGAGGGAAATGCTAGTGCTCTAATGCTGCTGCAACATTAGATTCAGGCCAGCATCGCTTGAAGATTTAATGCAGGGACTGTTTCCAGCACTATTCTCCCATCCATTTTTGAAGCAGGGGAGACAAGGGAAGGACAGAATCATGCATTTCCAAAAAGAATGACACATGATCTTCCAGTTCTATTACCTTCCTCTTACTACATTTGCTTTGATTTGTCTGATTTGGGCCTAGACCCCTGTGTCTCCTGAAAAACTTTACACTGTTATAACATATTTTAAGCCTGGGTCAACTATTGGGAAAGAGAAACAGTAGATTTTTAGATATCACTAAAGGAAAGTGATTTTATTTTTACTCAAACAAAGGATAAATCTGGTTTCTTCTTTCCCAAGCAAACTCTGGTTATCTCTGCTCCAGTTCTTAGCCATTGTCCAGTGGGTTTAATCTAGTAATATAATTGTTATCACAGACATGCACCCCAGAAAATTCCTCTGGATGGTGTGAAACTGTTTTGCAGTTTTTTAAATCAATGGACCTGAGGGCTGATTAGGCCCTTCTGCAACATGCCCCCTAAATATCCTTTTAATCTTAGAACTCTATATTCTTGACTAAATTAATCTTGCTTAACAATTTGTTTACTTTCCTCTCCTTGACAAATTTCACAGATTAATTCTGATAACTTGTTTACTAATCTGTTATTGGCCACTAACATTAAATATCAATTCCTTCCTCTTTGTATTCACGAAACAAAACAAAACAAAAATTAAGTGTCTGTGCTACTCACAACAATGTTCTTATTTCAAACAATGTCTAGGTAACACTTTTTGTTTTTTGTTTTCAAGTGGCTCTGATGCCAAACTATTCCATCTGCAAATATTACAAATTGGAAAAAAAATTTTTTGGCCCTGCAGTCAAAATATGCTGACAGAATGCCAATATTGCATATTATTGCTATATACTACAGACTCTTGAGCAGAGGGAACCAGATATAGTTTGCCTATTCGCAGAATATTTCAAATTATACTCTACTATATGCTATACAAAAGCTAGAAATGTACAATATTTTTAGTTTTAATAGACAGTGACAGGAAGAAGAGATGGTCACTCTGGCTCTCACCAAGTATCAATGGCTGTATAGACCCATCTTCTTTTTCCCCCCAACCTACTCTGATTCTACCCTGCTCAGTAGCATCTTTTCCATCTTAACTATTCTATAACATGTGAATAATTGCCTACAGAATAATTGCCTCTCTGTTTGCCTGAAAGAAGGCCATAAATCCAAAATTCACTTGGATGCTCCTGCCTGTAATGTCTCAAAGGTGAGCATGTAAGCTCGACTTAACAAGAATAAGCCCCCAGCCACATTATGTCAGACTTATGATCCAGACATGCAAATCATCTGTACTTTCTTGGGTGAGGGAAGACAGCAGTTAGTTGCAGGTAAACGTTTTGCTTGTGGCTAAAACATTCAAAATGCTTAGCCCCATAGCAAGGGTGTTCAAAAAGGAACAAACACAGTTAGCAAAATCAGTCACTAAAAGAAACCAAACACATGAAGATCCACTAATACTAGAAACAAATATAGTCAACAGCTTAAAATGGGATAATATTGCAGAGAGGTGACTGAAGCCGTCTTCCTATGTTTCTGAAATGAGATTTTAAAGGGGTCCCAAGTTTAAATTCTGAAGATCAGTTCCTTCTCCAACTCTCCCCCACACAAGATTATAACACCAGAAGTGAGAAATGCTGTGACATTTAAGATACTCAACTAAATTCAGAATCTTTCTTTCATTCGTGTGTTGCTTGTGGCCTACATGCTTAAGAGTCTGAGCATTCATTTGAAGCAAATATTATCAATTACTTTCAATCTATGACAAAAGCCATTGAAAATCATATTTTAAAAATGTTTATGGACAAAACATATACAGGAAATTAGTGAAGACAGAATTATATAAAGCTGCCTTCATTATCATCCTCTTGTTAATAGTAATTTAAAGTTTTTATTCTTCTTGTGCTTTTTCTTTTTGTATTAATTTTAGATCTAGATTGGTGAATCACCATATTGACTGTATTGTCATATGGGGTGTGTGGGGTTCTTCGTTTTATTTTGTAGATCACTCAGAGTAGCGTTTCCACTAAAGGGGTGGTATATAAATCTATAAATATGTATAGAACCTGTTCAAACAAATGAACAGGTTAGGTAACAGTTAATTTGCTGTTTTCAACTTAGGTTCGCCCTTCTAGTGGAAACATGATTTAAGATAACTATTAGTGTATATTACAGGTTTTTATCCATAACTTTGTGATTTTTGAAAAAAATATTCTTTTCAAAATTTATACACTGATGCTTGGAATGTTCCTAATCAAACACCCAAATCACTGGCTTATTTGGATAAATCAACATACTGAAAAATCAGATTTAGTTTATTTTAGAGGACAATGACTATGTTTTCGTCTTTGTTCTGCTTTAGATATGAAATCCAACTGTGTCACATTCAACTATTGGATAGCTCAGTGGTTTAGGTTGGGAGTTTGATTCCTCACTGTGCCTTCTTGACAGAGACTGGACTTGATCCATAGGGCCCCTTCCAGCTCTGCAGTTCTAAGATGTTTAACAATAATAACAATAACAACAACAACAACAATAATAATAATGAATAAGAATAAGAATAAGAATATAATAATAATAGTTATTGTTATTATTATTAATATTGTTGTTGTTATTTCCAGACAATCCTATTCATGATGAATTTGAACTAGGCAGCTTAGGAGACAATGCAAACAGTATGAGTTGGGAGTGGCTCATCCACCATCCACAGTTCCATACAGTAATGTTTACTCAATACATGCCATGATAAACTCACTTCCCCCAATTCCAACATTCCTATTACTCGGAAAGTAGGAGCACAAGAGGTACATACCAATCCGCCTGGGCCCAGGACACACACACATTCTCCTGTGACAACAAGAAGCCGTCAACATCCACAAAGCAGTAGCCCAGGAAAAGCAAGGCAGAGAGTTTATTAAAGAAGGAGGAAGAGGTCTCCAACATTGAAGGAGGACAAAAAAAGAGACAGAAAGACAAGCAGTTTGTTTGTAGTGACAAGCATAAAAAAGCAAGTGCAGCACAGCATCTCTCAAAAGCATTTTCTAAACCTGCTGTAACCCCAATTTACAGCTCTCCATCACTCCTACTGCATAACAGAACATACAGTTCATGCAAGATTCACCTGCTATCAGCCAGACCCAAAGAGCAACAAGCATACCTATTCTTTTAAATCAGGCCTAAAGAAATATTTCAGCCTGATAAGCAGTAGGTTCCATTATTTGAAGCCAACATCAGAATACAGGCACTAGCTCAGCAAAGGCAATAGCCTAAATTCAATGTTAGTCTGAATTCAAGTACTGCTAATGAAACCAATGGGACTTGTTAATCATCACTTAAACTCCCACCGATTTTTGCAGATCTACTCTATTTTATACTATCACTGAATGTGCATTTATATTTTTACTTCAGTAATTTCTACAAATCAAGGTGTCCATAATTTTTCCAGCTCTACTGAAATAAAAGACATTAGTAAGCAACAGATTGCAATTCTGATTACCTTTAAGAAGACACCTTAAATGCTACGGACACATTTATAAGTGACATTCAGAAATAATAATGATGGCATTAATACTCCTAAAAATACTTATGTCCAAATGTTTTATTAACAGAGAACATAGTGACCATGGGGCAACAACACATTACCATTAACATATCCTAAAAACTAGTCTCCTCAAGAGTTTTTTTCTCACATAACCTCAATTTGTAAAGTTTTTATATATGCAAAATATTTCTGGCATATGGTCATTTTAGGGTACAGCTGGTATTCGAACCTGTAACGGTGAATCCTGAAGTCTGCACATGCAGGGTCCACTGCCCATTCAGGAAGCAGATGGGATACAACTGCAAAACCAGCATGTCCACAAACTTTTTTTTTTTTTTTTGCAGAAAGATGGGTTCTTGCTTTCACCATGTGGGTTATTCTGAGAGAGAAATAATATTCTCTTCATTGAGAGACTCTATGCTCTTTCAGTGTGCCACAGTGGATGAGCTGGCTCAGACGCAAACACTGGACAAAATCCTGTTGTTTAGCATAGCAAATTGCACTAGAGAAGGCTCACTGAATCAATGGGGATTTAGTGAGAACCTTTTCATATGTTTCATTGATTCAAATGGGCTTACTCTAATTGCAATTAACTTTAGGCCCATTTAAATCAATGGAACTGATGGAGCAACTGAATCACTAAATCCCCATTTATTGAAAGGACCTACTCTAGTGCAATTTATTACACAAAGCAACAGGATCTTGGCTAACGTATACAATCATTTTTGTTTCATTCTTTAAGCTTCAAGCAAGGGAAAATCAAGTTGTTATGACAAGGGCTGCAATGTTTCATTGGTCAGATTATTTTTTAAAAAATATATTAAGTTAGAGTACAAGAAATACGTCTGATTAATAAGACAAAAATGCTAAAAAAAAATTAAAACTATTTCTGAGAGCTTTATAGGGCATATAATATTTCAAGGACCATTCACCCTTTCTTCTTCCAAAGCTGGCAATGCCTCTTCTATCAGACTGCCTTCTACTGCTGAAATCTAAACCTAGGAAAGGATATTTCTTCTTTCAAAAATATCTGCTAATTGCATATGAGTAGCTAGTGAAGATTTAACCAGATCTAATTTTGGCACCTAGGAAGATGGAAAGCTGCCTAATACAAAGTCAGCCTATAAGTCCATCTAGTCCAGTACGGCATTACTTTAAAACTGTCAGGAAGCAGCTCTCTAGGTTTACAAATAGGTGTTCTTTTTGTTCCATTCCAACCCAGAAATAGCAGGAATTGGCCTTATGTAAGGGAAACAGGTATGAGTCTTTTCTCTCGTTTCCTCTGCTGTTCAGAAAGGTTGGTCCCAAGACTTCCCTACCGATCCTCAGCTTTGCTTTGGGAGATTTTGCAATGCTATACAGTATAAATGCATCCCCTCCACACTGATCCGAGGAAAGGGAGAGGGTAGGTTAACCTCAGGGTCGGGACAGGCAGTGCTCCCGCCGTGCGCTGGATTTCACAAAAGCAAAGAAGGTCTCCGCTTCACCCCAGCCGTGACAGGAATCCCGGTCTCTCTCTCCAGCCAGGGAACTCTCTTTGCTGAGGGAAAAGGAGGCAGCCGCAACCACTGCACCAGCGCCTCTTTTCTTCTCTTCAGTGGCCAGGGGTAGTAGCTTCAGGCCCGGAAAGCAAGGGCCGACACCTTCCCCGGCTGCCTCTTTTCCTCACACCCACACAGGGACCTCCATCCGCGCAGGCTTGTGTTCGGGATCCTCTGCAGCACGAAGACGTATCTGACGCGACCGGGCGCCCCCCCCCGCCTTCGAGACACATAACATAGCCATAAACACACGCGCGAGCCACGCCCGCCCGCCCACATACCTGCCCCACTTATCCCCTCCTCAGACACTAACCTAGTCAGGGCTTGGGGCGGGAGCCCGCTTGGCCAGCGGGAAACAAAAGAGCGGGGCAACGGCTCTCGCCTCAGCGCTCGCGGCAGACGGGGAGACGTCCGTTTCTCGCCCTCCCCCGAGACTCCGCCCCTCCCACCCGCTCGCCTCTCGCGGCCGGCAGCGCGTGCCCGCGCCCTCGCCCGCGCCGACTTTGCTTCCCTTTTACAAGCGGCCGCCGCCGCCGCCAGCACGCTAACGAACGCTCCAGGCTCGATGACAGCTGCCCTTCTTTGTCGTGTGGGCGGGTTTTGTGACGCGGACCCGCCTAATGAAGCCTCTGTGCGACAACCATTGGCTAAAGAGGGGTGGGGGTGGGAAGGACAATAAGAATCACGTGATCGTTCTTCTTTCGTTCACGGTATTCTGGCATCCTCTTCACTTTTTGTTTTATGTTTTTTTAAGCGGCGGAAGGATTTCACTTGCTTGTCCTCCGCCGATGCGTAGAGTGTCAGTATTTTTTGCTCTGTGGAGGATTGACAGAAGCTGTCCCCGAAGCCTTTTGAATCTATTTCTTTTCCAACTGTGAAACAGAGTCCAGTGAAAAGGGCGGGCTCGTGAGAGGCTGCGCTTCAATTTATATCATCTTTCCTTTCTTCATTTTTGCACTAATATTGAGTCTGGGGCTCGGCCTGCATTTCTTTTTTCTGATCAAAGGAAAAGGGAACCCGTAAAATCAAGAGCATATATAAAAAAAGAATATACTGTATATCTTTCCTTTTCAAGTCCCTTGTTGGGAACACGCCAGTTGGTGTGGTGTTCCGGAAAGGTTGTGGGTAAAAGGCGGATCCTTGCAATCAAAACCGGATCTGCGTTATTTCCTATGATTTTTATGTGGGACCTTTGGCAAACCGCTGTCAAATCACTGATAGCATGTATGCCCACAGACTTCAGGAATCTCTTGACAATACCTTTGCAGTGATGCAAGAATGTGGATTTGAGGTGAGGATCCTTATGGATCCACAAAATTTTTACAGAGCATATTCTCCAGACCATTGTCCAGTCTATATTGTAGATCCCATTTATCTCATGCTGCTTGATGATATCATGGTTTTTTTTTTGGGGGGGGGATGGCTCTGAAACATGAATTCTTGTGGAGCTACATCATTTCTACATGGGATTTTTCTGAGCCTTCAGATCATTGATTCCATTCATGACCAAAACCCGAATCACACAAATCACAGTTTCCTTGCTGCAGATCATTACCAGGTTCGAAAACATCAATCAGATGTATGGAGCTTCCAAGAATCCATATTATTTTTACAGGATATCTTCCCAAAATCACTTTCAAGTCATAGATCCTCTCAGTGTCCAAAGACTGAACCATGAAAAGTACCTATCATAAGACTGTAGAAAAGCAAGTTTCTTTATTTGTATCTGATTGAGATGCAGACCACAATGGCCAACACAATATGAGCTGGTTAGTCTTTAAGATGCTGTAAGATTCTTACTTGTTTTTGCTATGATAGAGTAACAGGACTCCCTCTTGACACCCTGCAGTTTCCTTCAAGTAGCTGAGAATAATTCATTTAGGATGCTGTTACAATATGGAAATTAATCAGAAGATGGAGCAGGGGCGTTGAAGTCAGCTTAAAGTCAAGTGGTAGTCACATGGCTTTTGGATTGTGTGTGCATCCTCTTGGGGAAAAATAAATCCATTTTAAACTGTGTTATGCATTGGTCAAAGGAGCAATATGTTATGTGCTTTTAGAATCATATCATTTGAGGCTTTGTTTGGCATCCACCTGCTCTTGCACTGGCCACTTCTCACAGCCACTTGCTGCTGGTGAGTTATTTTTAATACAGTATTCGTTTTATTCTGTATTTATTTCAAAATGGGATATTGGTAGATCAATACCCAGATAGGAAAAAAAATTAAAACAGATGGGACTGCAAAGTTTCCATGCAGCTGGACACGTTCACAGACACACACACACACATGGGGTGCAGAAGGAGAGGGATTGATGGAACCAGCAGCAGGGATTGGCAAGAGGGAAGGCACACCAATGAATGGCAAAGAGAATCTGACAAGATCAGCATCTTCTAGGCTTGTACAGGAGGGAGTGCTTTCTTTCTCTCTGCTGGTTCTGCAAGGCTTTTCTGCAGCCTGAAGCTCGTTATCCTGGCATCCATTACTTGACAAACCCCACATACATAATATACACTGGAAGAGGCATTCACATGTGCCCAAACAATTCAAAATAAATTGAATTCACAAGCAATTAAAATAAATGACTCTCTCATGGCTGAGTAAAATACCCCGATTTCCAATTTAAAAAATCTATACTTCCCTGTGTGTCATGTAATTGGAGTGTTGAAAATTGATTTCAAACATACTAACCCCTATTCAAAAAGTTTTTTCAATGTTTCTACTCCTTTAGTGTCTTTCAGCAAGAAACTACTGAAAACCAGACTGCCTTAGATTTAACAAAGGTACCTTACAGGCTTTTGTTCCATTCTCCCTTGAAGGTATTAAGTTACTGCTTCTAGCCAAGCCCTAAAAGCACATTGATTTCAAGACAGAGAACTTTCAGATTAACATACTTGGTTCACAGGCTGTACAAAGTTTTAAAATTGCAGCTTGTATCAACATATCAGCCTGTACAGTGTAAATTGTTACACTTCATTTCAAGCAAGTTTCACCACTATTCTAGAAAGGGTGCACCAGATTGCAGTTGTAGGTACACAAGCATTTGTCTTGCTGACAAGTAGCGTGGAAGTTTGGCTTGCCTACACTCACAAAACTCACATTTTATAATTGCCTTGTTACAAATGACCTATGTGAATGATGTGAGCTTCATAGCGTCCTTATTTGGTAAATACATACTCCTCTTGCTTGAGCAATTTTTAAGGATAGAGTGATACAAATGTATTGGGAGGGTCAGAAAAAAGTCTCCTAAGAACAACAGGACTGTATCAAAATATTTGGTTGAACTGAAACTGAAAGAATCAAGCAAAACAGCTGGGATATATACAGATACACATATAAATAGCAGATGGCATTGTTTTCCCCTGCTTCTCTTTAAAAACATTTTATATTAAGATTCCACTTATGATGCCCATGTGTCATATGAGAAGAAAAAGGTATGCCTTTACACTTCTAGCTTATCTACATGCAACATACCATTAGTCCCAGATTTCTTCAAATAGATTTTGGGTTGTTCATCGAGAGCTAAAAGCTGCTGGCCAACACTACATTAAGAGACATGACTAACACACCCAAGTGGACAGTGTTTGTGCTCCTTTTTACGATTAACTGCTAAGAGAAGCAGTGAAATATCCATGAGGAATTGTGCAGGAATCTGCTCATTTGTTTGGTCTCACTTTACATATTTAGGTCAATATTACATAATCAGAGTTATTTTAAGACCTGCTTCCACACAATGTCAGATAGATGGAACAACTTGTTGACCAGAGCTTTCATTTGTAATTCTTTAGATGTCGGATCCATCTTCTTGATAACAACTGCAACCACAGCAGCTTTCTTCAGATTAATTGAATGTTACACAAAACATAATTTTTCCTTTCCTTCACTTTCAGTTACTTTTGTGTACCGTTTTCCCCTGAAAATAAGACAGGGTCTTATATTAATTTTTGCTCCAAAAACACGAGGGCTTATTTTCAGGGGATGTTTTATTTTTTTCATGCACAACAATCTACATTTATTAAAATGCAATCATGTCATCTTCTTCTGGTTGCCTCGCAAAAGTGGAGGGTGGGGTTTCACTTAAGTGGGGCATATTTTTGGGGTAGGGCTTATATTATGAGCATCCTGAAAAATTGTACTAGGGCTTATTTTGAGGTTAGGTCTTATTTTCGGGGAAACAGGGTAGCTTGCCTTGTGTTTCAGTTATGAAGGCAAGTATGTTCCTCTCTGAAGAGCTACCCAGTTGTAAAAGCTGTTGACACTGAAAAGGTCATGGGAAGGAGCTATTTTTAAAAATCCTGACCCATGCTGGGCACTAGCCAGGATTCAGATGAGACTGGAAAAAAGAGCTGTGAGTTTTAAGTTTCAGACTGGGTGGCACAGCCCAAGGAATTCTTACTGACCTACAGCGGGCAGCATGACCAGCTACCTCTTGTTGCTATTTAAACATAAAGAAAGCAGGTGCTTTACTTAGAAGTATGGAATCAAACCTTTTGAACTGTAGAGGGATAACATCACTAAGACAATAAGCCGTATGTGTAGTCAGAATCAAGCCCTGCTGAATTAGAGCAGAGATGCCTGGGGAATGTAATAACTTTATAACTTGCAATATAAACTTACCTGACCTCTACTGCCTGGGCTAAGGTGCAAATGAGGACATAGATATTTATTTATTTATTTATTTATTTATTTATTTATTTATTTATTTATTTATTCATTCATTCATTCATTCATTCATTCATTCATTCATTCATTCAGTTAGTTAGTTAGTTTAACTTATATGCTGCCCATGCTACCCAAAGGTTTCTGGGCAGCTCAAAACAATTTAAATGCAATAAAAAGATAAAACAATTAAAATACAATTAAAAATACAGTACTCTAAAAATTGCTATCAGGACCCACAGTTGATATTATTTCAATTAAAAATCTTCTGGAACAGGAAGGTTTTGACCTCACACCAAAAGGTAATCAACGATGGTGCCAGACTAATCTCATTCAGGATGGCGTTCCATAGTCTGGGGGCAGCTGCCGAAAAGGCCCTTTGTCTACCTCCTTGAGGGATGGCTCTTTCAGGAGGGCCCTCTGGCTAGATCTTAATTGCCAAGTACGTTTATATGGAAGGAGGCGGTCCCTCAGGTAGCCAGGGCCCAAGCCATTTAGGGCTTTGTATGTCAAAATAAGCACTTTGGATTGGGCCCAGACGATGACTGGTAGTGCGGTCCCTCAGGTAGCCAGGGCCCAAGCCGTTTGGGGCTTTGTATGTCAAAATAAGCGCTTTGGATTGGGCCCGGACGATGACTGGTAGCCAATGTAATACAATTTTGCTTGTACAGTATTCAAATTTTGTGAGGCAGGTCTTTGAAGAAAATATATTCCTATGTTTCTAAAAGCATATGCTCAGAGAAAATATATTTTAAGATCTATTTAAGCAGGAAAATGCAGTGGAAAATGAGTTTTAATTGCATTTAGTCCATGTTACCAATATCCTGATAAGGCTATTGCCCCTTGCTACCTGGATGATGATGGTCGTGGAACTACAGTACAGCACACATTGAACCATTTGTAA